TTATTCTGAACACATCTGTACGTTTAGCATACCCCAGAAAAAGTACTCAAGGGAGTTGAAATCTGCTGAGTGGGTAACCCATTCCACATGGCCACACGGGCCAATGCAGATTTGGAAATTATCATCCAATTAGTCCCTCACCACTCTGGCATAATGGGGTGGTACACAATCCTATGGGAACTCTTCTAAGTGCCCTTCCCTTAGCTGGTAAAGCGTAGCATTAATTCATTAATTGATCACTAAATGGGTTGGTTTTGTACGGTCAACATTTATTTATGTTTCCCAACTTTATGACCAAACTGTAGCTGGCATTTATTACTAATATACATAATATATGCTTTCCTATTAAACTTATGACAATCCCGTAAGATATCACTATTATCTCCATTTTACAGATGAGAAAATAGAAGCAGAGAGGTTATATAACCTCACCAAGATCACACAGTTAGTAATTGATGGAGCCAGCATTTCAACTCAGGCAAACTGAACTTAGAGTCCATATTCTTAACTCCTAAGTAATGCTGCTGGGTAACGTTAGAGTAATACATGGTAGTAATGAAACCATTTCCTGGTGCAAGTATCACTTCCATGCAATGAAGTCATTTTAGACAGAGTTGTATCTTTATTTGTAATGGGATCTAAGCCAGAGAATTTCATTTTGAGAGACACTATTCATCACCTCGGGCTAAGAGTTAGCTGGATACCTTTGCCAAATGTCAGCAATTCAATTACATTCCAACTGAGGTTTTATTCAGACATTATTTTGGATTTGTTTTTAAGGCTTTACTTCTACTTGCAAGCTACCTAAATTTCTTTTTTTTTTGCTGTTGTTACAACATAGTAGATACTTCAGTGTTAAAAGCTTATTTAAGATTAAACACAGAAACTTGATTTGGAAGGCTGAGATAAAACATCCTCAAAAAGCCTTCTTTATTTGTAGATTTAAACCCTCAGATTCTCACTTTAATTGCAAAAGAGAAGTTATTGAATAAGAAATTTTAAGTGATTTTTTAACCGTGTTTTAAAAAATACTATGCTATTGAAAAGAAAGAAAAGAATTGCTCTTTCTATTGTATATTACATGGCCAAAGGGGCAACTCCCTTAACTGACTGGAGGAAGTTAGCTGTTGGTTTCAAAATCACTCTTTCCAGAGAAGTAGGGTGTGTGACTCAGATTTCCACACCAAGGTGGTCCCTGAGAGAAGACTTTAGATGTAGAAGAGGTAATGTTAAATTCTCTGGTATCACTTATTATTTCCCTCAGGCAAGCCACATGTCAGAGAACCTCAATCACGTTACATGTGCCTCAAGCACGTTACATGTGCTTCTTCCTTTACTTTTTTAAAAGGTTTTTATGTCTTTCAGTTTTCATGTGTGCTCTTGATTGGTATCTTTCTATAAATAAATGTACTTAGAATGAAAAAGTCATTCCAATCCTCAGCTGAGAGATCTTTTATATCCATCTCCCAGAGAGAGGAGATGAAATTTGATTTGAAACTGAACATACACAACTTGGCATACAGATTTCCACACTTTTCAAAGGTCTTAAATGGTCAAGATGATGAGAAAAATGAGAAAGAAAAATAAGAGGACAAGAGTTATCATTATTTGGGAACTCAGTGTACCCCTCATACCATGGTAGGTATTTTTCACACAGCATTAAATTTAGTCTTACTCCATTTTATTGAGGCATGTGATATGTGGAGATATAAAAATAACTTTTCCCAAATTATGTATGTAATATAAGTACAGTAACCAGGATTCAAAATTAAAATAAGAACTCAGGATCTGTGATGTTTCCATGATTTCACTCTTAGGGATTTAGGCCTAGTGTTGGGTGCTAAACACTCTGAAAGTGGCTAAAGAAGTAGAAATTCCCCAAAACCTCTAGAAAATTGAAATAAAAAATTAATTTCTAAAAATATTTTCAAAGTCAATATTCCAATAGTAGCTTGGCATCCATAAAAGACAAATTTAATTGGGAAAATACATAACTGACCTTTGATACATGAGATTCCTGAAAAATTTCACACATACTTAGGGTCAAGTGTTAAGCATTTTGTTTCAAATATAAGATGTATGTTTAGAAATTAGTTTGGTTGACCCTGGAACTTAGGTATTATATTAACTCCAAAGCCTTCTGGATTGTAACCCCTTTGGCATTATGCCATCTTTCATAATTGTGGGTTTTTTTCCTTCATAAGAACCACAGCTTCCTATTAAGCAGGAAGTGATAGGTTACTGTAATCCATGTAGTAACTGCCTGTCAGCATGACATTTTTTTTCAGTAGCATTTACTACAATACAGAAGGCTTAGGTGTGCCCTAATTATGGGATTTCTTTTTAATGCTTCTTATGTGTGGGAACTGAGCCTTTTGATTCATTAATTCATTCAGGTAATATTTACTTTATTGAGTATTTTATAGACATCTAGTCTTGTCCAAGGCACCAAAGATATAATGGTGAATAAACACAGTCTAGTGGAGGGGATATTAATCAAATAATCAGCAACAATTGTAACATTGCAATTGTGATATGTGCTAAGACATATGGTGCTCTGAGATGGCATAGTAGGGAAATTAACTTATGCAGAGAGATTGGGAAAATTTCCCTAGAAGAGTGACGATTAATCTGAAATCTGAAGGACACATAGAAGTAAATTAGGACTGAGAGGAGGAAGAAGAGTTCTATCCTTTGAATCCTGATTGGGGGTGGGGTGGTGTTGAGGGAACAAACCAAGGGGCTGGGGCTCATTAAGCAAGGGAAAGCAAGGCAGGGAGATAGGGAGGGAGGGTGAGGGCAATCATGAGAGGCTGAGGGGGAGATGAGGGGGTTTCAAGGCTGAGAGGAGAGGGGATTCAGGAAGGAGTAACACAATGAGATTTGTGTTGAAATGATTGCAGAGGTCTCTTTAGATGCAATGGGGAAATGCATGAAAGGGGATAAGAATGGATGTTAGTAGACCACTTAAGAGGTGTCTGCAGCAGTCCAGTCTGGGGGTGTGGTAGTGACGATGGAGATACAGACAGAGAACAGATGTGTCTAGATTATCTATGAACAGATGCTGGTGATGAATTAGGTATAGTATGATAGGGGCGAAGAAGAGGACTTGTTTAAAAGGATTTGGGTTTCTCATTCTCTATGCTCCCCATTCATTCAAAATGGACCAAACTAGGATGAGAGTAAAGAAAGATGCTGAACCCAGTTTTGTACATACTGAGATGGAGGTACCTTACAGGTTGGTGTAAGCTATTTCTTTTTGCAATTGAATTTGTATTTTATCAAATACTTTATATTATGTATACTATGTAATTATATTCCTAATTAACTTAGCAAAATAGCTATGTCTTTAGTTTGGGTGGCTTAAACCTTATACTTCCCAGCTGAAAGCACTATTTCTTAAATGCTTCCCGAAAAACTATTTAACATAAGAAAATCAGTAAACTGAATTATTAAGAAATACAGATTGGAGGTGACAGAGATAATGCAACCTGTTCCGAGTTCTCAAAGCTATGAAACTTTGGAATGTTAATTAGAAAACAAATCACAGATTCCCTTGAATTAGGATGTGTCTGTATTGTGATGAGGGGAAGTCACTTCAAATTCATGTATCTGTTTCCCTTAAGTACTTCTCCTCTATGTACCTTTTATGGGAAACAATGAAACTGTAACACAATTCCCTAGCACTCTTACTCCTGTAGGTTTTGCTTCCTTTTCATTAAGTAAAGGCAACGACTCAAAGCGAAATGAATTTTGTCATTGTGAACTCTATTCAATGAGCAGTCACTTGCCACTGGGTGTAGCAGAGGCAGAGAGGCTTAACCATCTCTCCTTCTTTTATCTTGAATAGTTAAAATAAGCTTCATCTTTTCTGAGCCTTAGTGCCTGTATGCATCTTCCTCCCCTGATTTTAAGGCTCATAGTTGGTGTTTCTTCCCCATGTGTCTGGAGGTGTCTCAGTGAATTAGCCTGGTCCTCCTACCTATGAACCATGGTAGAAAATTACAAAAATAAGAATAAATAATAGCTAAAACCACACTTGTGGGAAATCTCAAGTAATCACAAACTACTCTACAAAACAAAATTGATGTATATTTGTTTAGATGAATCCAGGGGTATCTAACTGCATTTAGGCAATCCTGAAGGTATTACAAGTTATTCTACTTTGCAGAAGGAAAATAAAAGTTTAGGAATGAGGAATATTTAGGCTGCAAATGGAAGGATGAGTAAAATTACTGTTTATCCAAAGGTTGAAAGAAAAGAAAAAAATAGACTTTCATGTTCAGGAGGAAAGTTTGAAGCATGGTATAGATAAAATTTGAGATTTTGTGAAGACTTGTTAGATTTCATGTTTCATTTCCTTGAAATCTACAAATGTAGTCACATCTACATTTCTTTATAATATATTCAAATGTATCCAGCTTTTAAAAGATGCATCATTAATAATACAATAAATAAAAGCAACACTTTCAGCCTTAAAATGGTACGGTTGATAAGATTTAAAAAGTCTATAAAGTTGAGATGATAACATGGAAGCAGGATTTTCTTTCCCCTTTAAAAAAGTGCCAATGACTGCCAAGGGCCCCATTCCCAGAGATCACGGTTTGGTTATTTAAGGATGGGGCCTGGTAATCAGTATTTTTAATGCTCTCAGGCAACTGTGATATGTAGTCTAGCTGGAGAATCACCTATGTGAGAGATAGTTACGCTAGTTATAAACTGTGTAAAATGAATCAAACATCTCTGTATGGTCATCAGTCTATTACTAAAGCTTCCTGGATATAGTGGGCTATATAGATTCTTTGTTTTGATGAAAATAGCATATTTGAAAATGGATTTGACAAGAAAGTGTTTTTGTTTTTAATTGCAACTATTATAATAACCTTAAAAATAAACCTATGACATTGGTATTAGTATTATACTTATTCTAGAGATAACAGGCAAAGGATAAAGAATAGAGATAAGGCAAAAGCACCTGTCTAATTTCCAGAGTCACATACCTCGAAAGTGGTAGGTTTGGGACTAAACCCAATCTCCTTGTTGCTGAAGGCCAGACCTGCAAGCTTTCCTAAAAGGTTATGTTGTCTCTTGTCTTGTCTCTTGTCTCTTGTCTTGTCTCTTGTCTCTTGTCTCAAAATAACAGCACTCTTCTAGAGAAAAAAGAAACAAAAATCAAGAGAAAAATAGATTGGGAGGATTCAGATACTGACATATTTGTATAGAGCTTTACATTTTCAAAGCAATTTTTCTTTGTGAATGCCAAGGGAGAGAGGGCAACTGCAATTTTCTTCTATAAAGTCAAAGGATAGTCTTCATATAAGAAAAGAACATTTATGAGAAACTTCAAGAAGAGCTGGATCTGAAGGCCTCTTCCATGTGGTTTCTTTTATTCAACACGTAAACTTATCAACTTAAATAGGAGGCACATAAAATATGTGATATTCTCACATATGGACTAAAGTCTGGACTTGGAGTTGGGTATCAGAAGAATTCAGTTACCTTCTGACTTGTGAACCTGTCCATTAAAATTAAGCCTCAAGTCCCTCCTATTATATTATAAGATTCAAAGATTGAGACTAATTAGTTCATAACCACATTTAAAACCTTGAAAAATGCTGCTTATGCATTATATCATTGATTGTTGTATCATAGCACCTAGCATGATGCCATGCCCACACAGGTACTTCATAAATGTTAGTAGAAGTTTTGATGATTTTATATGATTAAAAACCTTAGCACAAAAATTGACTTTTATTGCCTGGAATTTAGGGGAAATATTAGATTTTGTAAATAAAAGGCATATCTTCTTACTCTCCTTAAGCGTTTTAAATTTCACAGAAAATGGTTTGTTTCCTTTTTAAATTTTTTAAAGCTATGCAGAATCTAAAGACAGGCTAAAATTACAGTCATATTCAATTCCAAGTGCAATAAGAAACAATATTCATAGCATCACAATTGCTAAAACTTACTGAGAACATAAAATGCCATAGTATGTAATCCATCTATACATGGATTTTCTTAAAGGCCATGATGATTCATGAGGTAGGCACAACTATCATTTACACATATCCAAGGAGGAAATGGAAGCTTAAAGAGACATGTCCAGGGTCACGTATCTAGTTAAATGGCAGGGCTGGAATTCAAACTCACAGCTATCTGAATCTGGAGCTCCAGCGGCCCTGAATTTAGGGGAGTTAGCACTGAACACGCCAGCCCAGGAAATTTGCAATATTTTCTCTAAGGTCACATAAATTTGCAATATTTTTGCTAAGGTCACATAAATATGCAATATTTTCTCTAAGGTCACATAACTGCCTGTAGCTTCCATAGGCTATCTGGAAACAAATGTGAATACACATGGTTTCTTATGTCTATTCTTTTGTTAATTAGAGATTTTGGTAGTTCTTATCTGCTTACACAGAAGGCAGAGAGATACAGTTACAAGGAGGGTTTGAAATAATTCCAGGTTTTTCCTTCTCACCGATCATGCAGAATCCAAATACTTAACGTGCATAATGGAGCCATTACTTCACCCTACTTTACAATTTCTCCTAAAATGCACACAAATAAACTATTAGCTCATTCAAAACAGCTTGGGATAGAAATAGCAACCGACGTTTAAATCTCACAACCAAGCCAGAAAACTATCTGTATAAGAGGCTATACTGCCTTATTACTTGTCTTATTTTGATTGTATCAGCCAGTTGAAACAACAGGTCACGGAAGACCTGTGAATTAATGTGTATTTGTACACATGCTTTCTAGCTGAAAGTGGTAATGTTGTGATTATTAGAAATGATAGTGCCATTAAGTAAGTGATAAAAGAACCTAAAATGTTTTGAATTCTCGCTAAGTACTGAGCACCAGTTACAGGTTCCATGTAGATTATCTCACAGTAACCCTTTGGGAAGGAACAGGTATTGACCCCATTTTACAGGTGAGATAATATAACTTGCCCAGGTGTGCAAAGCTAGCAACTGGTACTGTTACTTCAGAGCTCATTCTGAACTTCTAAATGATCCTGGCATGAAATTCTGTTATTATTGGAAGTCACATGGAATGATTACATTACAAGTGGTATGATTTAATTGTTTTAAAACCAGGAAGTCCTGGGTTCCATTTCTCCTGCCACCATTCATCAATTAGTGTCCTTGGGCCAGTTAACTACCTCATTTGTTAACTGAGGATAATAGCATACCTACCTGAGATGTTGGTGTGAGGTCTAGATAAACTAATACGTATAACTCACTTTAGCACAGTGAATGGAAAATAGTAAGGACTTATTATTATTTAATTTATCTGACTTCTGGTTCCATGAGTTGATTCAGGCTCTGAAAATATGCAACAAACGCATTAGGCAGCTTTGACTGCTTCCTTTAACTCTTGATTTGGCAGCTTTATATTATTCAACGATTTAGTGCATGCAATTTGGCATTTGCAGAGTTCCTTACACACAAGGATAACTAATCTCACCAGTCATCAGTCAACTTGTAAGCTGGCACAGAATTAGAAAAACCACAGGTTTCACAGGAGGAAACAGTCAGGCAAGTGAAAAGTCTTTCCGTAGGACACACTGAATCCAAGACTGGCTGAGGATTAGCACTGAGGCATACTACCTAACCAGAGGAACCACTTATTTTCTCTGAAAGTTCCTGACAACCTGAAGACTCAAGGAAGCAAAGACTCGGTGACTCCAGGAAGAAAGAAAAAACATCTGAGAAAGGAAATATGGCTAGTCTTAGAGCCTGACACAGACCCTTGTTCAATGCGGAGTATTTTCTAGCCACATTAAAGTTCTCTACACCAGACTTGCTCAGTTGTCTTGGCAAACTCTGCCTTGGATAAGACAGCAAGTAATCTGTGCTCAGTGGAGAGAAGAAAAACAGCAAGATCACTGTAACTGGCTACGTTTCATTAACCCAAAGGGCTCTATAAAAAAACCAAAAACAGAACCAAAAAACAACAAAAAGAAGTTTTTCTTGGTTTGTGTGATGATCTAACAAATTTTAGGAGGGAGTAGTTTTTCATTGACTTATTCTTTACCAAGTGTATTACAGTGTGTAAGCTGACAGCTACATTTGCATAAAAATAAATCCATGTATGCATTTCTGTGGTACAGAGGCCTCACTGCAAGACGCTTTGTTTCCTTACTAAAAGTACATCACATTGGGTCTGGCCTCCATCCCACCCCCTTTCTACCCTCTCCCTACACACTAAAAACACTTGTTCATATCACTTCATTGGGAATTAAAACAGAATGATTTCAGTTTCATCAGTTAACTGATATTTTGCAGAAAAGGTATCTAAGTAGTATCCCTTTAAATAATAATCCCTATGACCAGAAACACAACTTGCTGGTAGGACAGCTTACCATTACTAGCCACAGATTTTCAGAATTTGATGGAAACTTAGAGATCATCCACTTCAAGCTACCTGGGAAAAAAGACTCAGAAGGATGTAGTAATTTGCCTTGGTCACATAGGAGGTGAGGACTGATTCAGGTCTCAATAGGGGCTTTTTACTGCAGTTCTAGTTCTGTCCACTTATAGTTGTTTTCGTCTCACCGAGAATTCTTGGGAGCTGAAGATAAGAATTTTCATTTTGATGTAAATATGCATGATCATTAAACATATGTATTTTGCATAAGACTTAAGATTGATTTAAATTTTTCATTTCCTTTAATCATTTATTTATATAGTATTCATTAAGCAACATTTTGATTAATATCAAAACATTATCATTCCTGGTAAATGAAATAAGTTTACGAAATGATTCTCTGCCTTCTCTAAGCCTGAAATCTGTTGAAGAGCTAAGATGAGGTTAAATTCTATAGACACATGCACACACGCATACATACACTATAACACACGAATATTCCAATGCCTAAAAAGCATGCCAAATTGTAAGTTGCTACTTAAGTTCAGGAAAGAGAAAGATTAATACAAGTTTTTCTGGTTGTTACTGTTTTTAAACATTCTGAAGTATTTTCTTAAGTCCAAACAGAAAATCTCTTTTGAGTGAATCCAACCTCTAGACAAGGGGCTGGCAAACCTCTTCTACAAAGGAACAGATATAAATATTTTAGGCTTTGTGAACTGAGGCCTTCTATTATAATCCTTTTACTTTTAGAATATATATTCATTATCATCCAAACTTTTCCCTTCAATCCAGGAGTAAAATGGACTTCTCAACTAACAACATAATAAAGTTTCTTGAAGTGAATGTTGCAAAGTCAAGCTGGAAAAGGAATGTCACCTGAGTTTAATATTTGGGGACAGAGTAGATCTGTAAGAAAATATTACTGTTTCTGAACTTCATGTGGAAGCTTGTGTATGAAGGGGATCAGAATATGCTATCCTAAAATATGCAATTTTGTCATAAGGATTATTTTGAGCTAAAGGCAATTGAGAAGAGACACAGGAAGAGCTCTCTCTCCTCCCCCTACCTACCTAGAAGCAGAGAATAAATTGCCCTTGTGAAGATGTGAAGGTGTCGCCCCTCCGCCACCCCCCAAAAAAAAAACTGTACAAAAAGAGGAAAACAACACATCATCAGAGATGGAGATGGAACCAAGATGAGTTTGAATAAATAAACTTTACTGAATAACCCTTATCTACCATTAGCTTCCCCACTAGATTTACTTTCCTACAATTTACCACTCCTAGAAGCCCCAAGCCTTTTTTCCTTTGTCTGGTCACTTTTCCACAATTTACTGCCCTTTGTTAAATAAAATGGTATGTAAGCCTCTAAATCTAACTGTGTTTTGGGGCTTTCATTTTTTTTTCCTGTGCAGTTCCTTTACACATAACATTAAAAATAAAATGGGTGTTTCTTTTCTCCTGTTAAACTATCATTTGTCAGTTTAATTTGGTTCAGAACTTAAGAGAGTAGAGGAAAAGTTTTTCCTCCAACATATATACTTGTAAATAATACACAAATATAGCAGAATCAAAGACAATACCTATGAAAAACCTCTTTCACTACTGGAATGCGAGGACTGAGGGCAAGGAGCAATCGCTACAGGACAAAGGACAAATCTCTAGGAGACAACCATGAAACACCTTGATTTTGCAACATATTGAAACTTCTAGTGTCTTGGTTGTCTGCATGTTCCTTCCATAGCTTTATTTTCCATCTACTGTTTTTTTGT